TTCTGCTACAGTTTCTTGTACAGACATTCCTAGGAAACCTGTAAAGTGTCTTGGCTCAGTGACTGTCTAATTGCTGTGTTAGCTGCAACCAGGAGGCTGTCAGAGTGCAATCTTGTTTATTGCAGCCGTTTGTTCTATCCTTGCTTGCTTCTCTATATGAAGATAATCTGCTGGAGACAAGAGGTAGTGGGTGTAAGGTTGTTTAGTAGATTATTTCTGTAAGATCTGCTACAAGGGGCGGACCATACATTCTTCCGTGTATAAGATTTATCTGCAAAGTGATGAAAATTGTCTCTTAAGGAAACTCCTGACATGATAGCCAGGCACTGTTTCTAATTGGCTGCAGCGGCTGCATGGGCAGCAAAAGGTGGCACTGCATGGTGTTGTCAGCTGGTGCCCTGCTGGCAGTGGGTACGTGTCTGTGCCTCCTCCACATCCTGCCTGGTTCCACTCACCAAGTTCACATCTCTAGTTCTAGCCAGAGTGAGGGTGGGAATGGAGGCGAACATCGGCAGAACAGCGAATCCAGCCAAAATTCAACACAGACAGCAACTGCAGTGACACAGTGTTCATTCAGCCTGGGTTTGCTCACCTTCCATTGCTGTGGGGACAGCTGTCCCAGCTTCCAGAGTCAGGTTTCTTCTGCAGGAACATCCCGAGAAGCGGGGAATGGGGCATGTGAAGCTGTGCAGTGATCCCTTCCCCCCAATACTTCTTGGCTTTGGATTTTAGAAAGACCACAAACCCTTAGCTTATTACAAGTAATCCTGATCACTCCCATAATGATACACTACATTATATACTCTCCTAAACTTAATCATTCAATATCTCACTTCCTTCCCTGTAGGCATGTACTATTATATTTTACACATGGCTTCCAGCTGGTTTTCATTGCGGCCTTCAAATCGTATTTCAGAACAGCGCGACTTAAGACCAGTCATTTTATCTTTTAAAGTCAGCTTCCATCATATTAGTTTTCCTGCAAGTTTTCTGCCAGGTTTGGTTAATTTGTTTGAAAAAATGACTTTGTTTACGAGGTTAAAGCCTGCCTGAATGAAACTTCATAATGCGGCATCTCTCATACCTGCTCTGTCTGGATGCTAGGAACACAGCAATGCCTGTAAACATAAAATCTCTTGGAGGGATGGAAAAAAATAAGTCCTCTGGGCATGGAAGGAAATCTGTATCTTCACATTTGATTTGAAAGTAGATGGGGAGATGGTGAGGAGAGAGGGAAGGGGAAGTCAGCTCCAGATGTGGCGGCTGTGACGGGGCTGCCCCACCTGTGGGCTGGAAGCAGTGGGAAGGAGACGTGGGTGGAAAGTAGAGGTGGGACTACAGAGCTGCAGAGGCCTCTGCTGCGAGGGGCCTGCAGGGCAAGCCAAGCCTGGCACCGAGCGGGGTGAGGGGACGCCGTGCCAGGACTGTGCTGAGGATGCACTGCAGAGGGAGAGGGGATGGGGAAGGCAGCAGGCAGCATAGCATGCCTGCCCCTTGGGACCTTGCTGTCCGCAGAAGGAAAGCTGCACCTGGCTGTTGTTTTTATACAATTTAGTGGCAGGTTCAGGACATAGTTTGGAAATGTTTAGCTGCGTTGGTAAATCTGCTGTAGCCTGTTATTTCATCACAGAATAGATGGGCTTTCCTTTTTTGAAGTATGGAAGCAGAACAGGGCTGACTCAAAATACAAAGGGTATGGCAGGCTGTGCAAAAGGGTGTGAAGTCGATGGAAATTGTAACCATAGATTTAAGGGCATAATAACAACCCCACAATCTAAAAATCTGCAAGGTGAAAGCCGGGCAGTTTCTTTTATGAGGATGTGGTGCAGAGAGCCAGGCACAAAGTAAGCAAATTGCTCACATCAAGCACTGTATTTTACAAATGTAGTTCAGAGCAAATAGCACAAAGGTAACTGAAATTTCATCTTGTATCATGTGCCTCAATTGTTGAATCATTTCCCATAGAAAGGCACACACTTATATACTAAACAGCCTATTTTACTGGAAAGAACAAAACCAATTGCAGCCTAAATCCAAAGGAAATTCTGCATATTTATCCATCTCTACTGGTGCATATGTTTAGTGTCATATCACTGAAATGCATTCTCAATGCCACTAGAAATCCAGAGCAAGCCCCCAGAAATCAGCGAAATCGTGAGATTTTATGCAGAGTAAGAGTAGCTTTAGAGTTTTGTGTTATTTAAGAAAGCAGTAAGGCAAATGAAAAACAGCCTTTTTCTAATGTTATACACAGATAATTCTATTGTTATGTATTTTTCTCCTCTGGAAACAATGGAGAGGTCACTCCAGAGAAGGAAGGGTTAAAGAAAATTATTCTTTCCCTCCTGCTCTTGGCCCTCTTTGGTTGATTGCTTTATAGATGCTGTAGGCATCTCTTCATCTCCTTCAAATTAAACATTTTACTGCTGCTGATCCTGTATTGTTGGATTTTTTTTCATCATTATATTTGATTGGAAGTCTTGTAACGTTTTTCAGGCTGGATCATTTCTCATGCTATTTGTCAACTGAAGAGGAAGAAAAACACACTTCTAACTCCAAGAATGAACTGAGTAATTCACACTGCTTCTGGATGTGTTTCTATCTGTGTTAGCTGCTACTTAAATTTAGCTTCTGATTAGCAGTGCTACATGAGCTTTTTTATATGACACCGTCTGTAAATTCACTGGTGGTTTGTAGTGTTACATCCTTTTCTTTTTGGCTGCTCTGGACCTTGTGGTGGCAGGTGGCAGGTCCAGAGGGCACTGCAGTGGAGATAATGTAGGTGGGGTCTGTGTTACAGGGGCATGAGGCTGGGTTCTCATAGCATCAGCTGGCATCAGCAAGCCCAGTACTTTGGCTCTCAGTGCTACCTGCTGATGTTGGTACGGATCTCATCCTCATCTGTAGTGCCTCTCTTTGGAAACATCAGTCCTTTTCTTCGTGAGCAATCCATGAACAAAAAAGAAATGCTCAAAGAGCAACTGAGCTATTCAGTTCATTGGAACGTTATGCTCTTTTATTGCATGATATGTAGTAAAACACAGAATACTAGGCATTTCCATATGAGTTCCTCCTGTCTCCTAATCCTTGGTTAGTTCCATTTGACACCTGGAGTATTTTTGTGCTTGGGAGGAAAATGAATTCATTGGCACCAAAACACATCTGTAGTTCTGCTCACCAGTAGCTCTTCCATGTTTGTACAGACCCTCTTGTCACTGGAGGCAACACCTACTTTTAAGTGCCTGCTGTGGAGCTGCCTCCTTGTTCCAGTGCTTTTTGTCACCACCATGAGCATTGCTTTGTGCCGCTGCCATGTGCTGCAGTCCTTGGGACACGCAGTGTAGTCATTTAGGTGCTTCGCCCTGCCTCGTGTATGGGTGTTGAGCTGGGATGAAGCCCAGCATGCCCACAGCGTGCTTCTTGCAGCCAGAGGCACAGGCAGCACAATACAGCTGCTCTGCCAGGATGTGAGCTGTGCTGCGTTCACACTGACTCCTCCAGGCTTAGCTCCTTGGCAGAACGTGAGTGGCAGGCAGTTGTTGGAGCACATCACTTTTCACAGACTGCAGCTGGAGACCACTGGTGGTATACGTTACAGTGGCATTATTTGATGAAGGACGTGAATAAAGGGCTCTTCAGGACAGAGCCATTACATTTCTCTGTGTGGACAGTCTGTTATGCTACAGTGGACTTTCATTATGCATTCATTAATAACTTGAACAGAGTAGGATTTTACTGGGAGCTTTGTGTGTGTGTAAAACTCGGAGCAGGTTCTCAACACATTTCCATTATTTACTCTTATTTTTCCCTTTAGAGAGCTTTAATGTAAGGTTGATTTTCTTGATGTTGTTTGCAGCAACGCTGATTTCTTTTTTGGGTGAAGAGCCAGAATTCCTTTTTATTTATTTATAAGGAAATATTTATCCATATTGATTTTGTTAGCTCTGTAGCACCGAGTTCTAATAATTATTTCCCTGCATCTGAAGAAACCCCTGGGCAAATACAGCCTTCAATCCTGTAGGGGATTTTTGCCGGTAATCTCTCTTGTATATATTTTGTTTTAAAGAAAGCATATGTAGTTCCTCTGTTCTTCCAGCAGTTCAGAGCAAGTATTTTTTTCCTGGAAAGAGGGCCATACAAGGCTGCTCCTTATCCATTTTCAGTGGCTATTAGGAAGATTAAAAGCTACACAGCTTTCTTAAACTTGCCAAAAAGGAGATTGTGCTGGTGAAATCTCTTACAAGACTGGAAACTGGGTCTGCCCAGAAGCCTTCTCAGAATGGAGGGGTATAATTATTTGAACTCACAACTCTTTAACTAGTGATATTAATACAGTTGTAACACAGAAAAATCTGCTCCAGAGATGCACTTAAGCTGGCTCTGATAAAAACTGAACTATCCACGATATCATCTTGACAGAAAGGAAATCTTATTAAATCTCTTGACTTTATATATATATATATATTATATATTCCCATAAAGCAGCCATGATAGATTTTAATGCCAAATCATCACTGATGACAAAGGAGCACCTCACAGTCGCAGCTGATCAGTCTTTGTGGTACTGGGCATGTAGAAATGTGGCCTCCAGGATAATGGCAAGAGGAAATGAGGAGGAAGATGAGCAAAGAAGCAGAGGGCCTTGTCTGAGACGTGACAACTGGCCAGTCATGACCGTGAGACTATTCCACCTTTTGAATTAATTTTTATTTTGGGTGTGTTTCTTTTTAATGCCTATATTCTGTGTTTATTATTTTGTATTTTTCTATTTATTTTTTTACATACATTGTTTGGCTTTTACATTGCTTTCTCCTTTCGGTCTGTAGTTACCAGTGCAGCTGCATTATAGGTAAGAAAGGAACTGGGAAATTAATATTAATTAGTACTTTTCTTCATTAAAACAAATTAGACCCTGTATGAAGACATGTATAAGTGCCTCTTATCTCAGGCACCAATGGGGTCACCATGTACATGAGCTACTTGTCTGCTTAACCCTACAGGTGCTGCACAGACAGCAGTCCCAGCCTGCAAAGGAGAGCTCCCCACCCAGAGAAGAGGCTCCTCCTCCACCCACTGAGGACAGTTGCGCCAAAAAGCCCAGATCCCGCACCAAGATATCCCTGGAAGCTCTAGGTATCCTTCAAAGCTTTATCCATGATGTAGGTCTCTACCCTGATCAGGAAGCCATTCATACCCTCTCTGCTCAGCTGGATCTCCCCAAACACACCATCATCAAATTTTTCCAGAACCAGCGTTACCATGTAAAGCATCATGGGAAGCTAAAAGAGCATTTGGGAACAGTGGTTGATGTAGCAGAGTACAAGGATGAGGAGCTGCTGACAGAGTCGGAGGAGAACGACAGCGAGGAGAGCTCAGAAGAGATGTACAAAGTGGAGCCTGAGGAAGAAAACCCTGACAAAAGCAAGGCAGCTCCAGCAGACATCGACCAGAGATAATGTGAGATAGGAACACAGAAAGCAATACAGTGATCCAAGGATGTTGTTTCTGTTTTTTTTTTTTTCTTCCTCTTTTTACTTTTTGTTTGTTTCTGTTGCACATGATCCATGTGCAAACCGAATGAATTCAGCATTGCCCACTCAGACATCGCCTTGACACAGACTTGAGTGTTACACATCCTACACGTGACTGAAGTAATCATTGTAATCACATAGGATTATGCCTTCATTAATCTTGCACTTATGAAAGGGACATCTAGCAAGTAAATGGGAAGAAAAAGTCCTATGAAATCAATGAAGGAAAAATTACAACTTTGTGTGTTTATATATATATATTTACATGAAATATATATATATTAAAATTGCATGGGACGAACTTTACAACCTGGAAGTACAGACTGTGAAATGAGTTCTTTAAAGATGAGACTTGTTTATGTATTAAAACCACTTCACAATGAGTTGCTTTGGCTTTTTGATAAACTGCCGCCTGCTCTCAGGGTGTGGTGACTATTTTTGAATTCCTATTTATTTTCTATGTTTATCCCTGATTTTTATTTTTTTTTTTTTTAATTATTATTATATGGCTTCCTATCTGGCAACTTGATGGGTAATTTTTGAGGTATGTATTTAAAGACATAAATCAACACTGCCAAAAAAAGAAAAGAGGAAAGAAAGAGAGAAAATGGAAAAACAAATCAGGGCACCTTAAAAAGAAAACTAGTAAGTAAAGTACTTTAAACATGCGCACTTAAAAGGATACAGCATGTTCCACTCTCCAGACAGTCCTTTCTGTAGTGAACAGATGAATCTTCATGAGAGTAAGAATGACTAAAACTGAAATTCAGTGCATAGAAGACTTGTCCACTAAAGAGGTCTATATAGAAAGAGAAGAGAAATTACGTGTTGAGATTTGATGTATGGAATTCATACTATGAACCACATTTTACTGTGGATTTTATTTACTTGTTCTCTGTTTCAGATCTTAAGACTTATAAGCTTCCTTCTTGTTGCTTTTTGTTTTTATTGAAGTGAAACACGTATACACACACACATGCAAGTGTAAGGTTACACTGGGACACAGAATGCCACAATCCCAACAATCCCGTCCAGGTAGACTGCTGAGAGATAAAGGGTTTGCGTTGCCGATTCCCATTCACCCTCCTCTCCAGCCTCTCCGTGTTTCTTTTTTAGCTGGGCTTCCTCTGTGTCATGCATTTTGTGCCAGTGAAATGAAGTGTTTTCAGCCACGGGTCTCCCAAGCTGCAGCCCCTCCAGCGCTGAGCGCCCGAGGCCTCCCTGCCATGGGGCACCAGGCCCTTCACACTCACTCACCTCCTCCTCGGAGGGTTTCGCAGCGACCTAGCTAGCAACTACATCAGTTACATAAAGCAGAGCTAATACTGACTGACTCTTCAATGGTGTGAGCGCTAAAGCTGCAATCTACTATAGGTTCCACCTGTTTTGAGGCATCATGTCGCAAGAGACACCAAGTAGTATTTACTTTCCACTTCTGGGCAAGGATTTCCCAGGAAAGACCTCACCTTCGCTACCGCCTTTGCAGCTGCATTGATTTCAGACGCCTGTTCAAACTGCAACCATAGCCATACCAACAAGGTCTCTGGTTATTTTTTTTTCTTCACAGGCTTCTCACGTAACCTTGACAAAGACCTCATGCAATATCACTTTGAAAGTTATTTTCTGTTTACTACACCAGGCAATGTAATATAGCTGTTAATACTATTTATATATTTGAAAGGTATAAAAGGTAGGAGATAAAAGTGAAAAACGAACCTCTATGTGTAGATATTTACTCAGAACAGACAATATACAGGGAGAAGACATTGCAATACAAGCTAATTCTAGCTGCTCAGTAACCTCTGGAATTTTTAAGGGATTTTTTCAAAAGAAATGTTTGAAATGTAAGAATATCTCTGCATAAATCTCATATACCTTTGCAAAATATTGGTGGGTTGCTTACTTAAAACCCCTTTTGCTCTTCATCCTTTACTTCTGTAGTATGCTGCAGCTTTAATCAGAATTTCAATGGTTGCTGCTTTGTTTCTCTCAGAGCTACTCTTTCAAAACTGTCTTCTTATCCTGTAGCTGAAATCACTCCATACATTTGAAAGGAAACTGAATTTTGCCAAGCTATGTTAAGTTGTCCATCTGACAATGGCATCAACATTTGGTATCTTTTACACTTCAACCAAAAATTTTATTAGGTATTTTTTCAATGCTGAGTCTTGCCTTTTTATTTTAAATTTCACTGCCAATTTTGCAGTGATTCTAAGTGAATCTGTGGGCATTTTAGCCTGTGGTCTTGCCAGAACTTTGCGAATTACAATGCATATATGTCTATTTATTCAATATCCATCATATAATATCTATTTGGAAAAAGAAACTTTTCTTGTAGTGCCTCTTAACAAAGCACAATTTTCCGCCTTTTTTGTGAAATAAAAAATAAAAAATAAAAAAAAAAAAACAAATTGTGTTTTATTGCGGTATCAACAATGTGAATAAGGATTAACATATTGTAAATGTTCTTTTTTTTTCCATGTAAATCAACTTTATCTTTGTTATCACTAAGTGATAATTAATTTTTAACTTATGTGCATTGTTAGGCTGTTAGAATTTTTTGGTTGTTGAAATAAAACGCATTCAATAAATATGACTTAATTTGTCAAGTAATTTACTGGGCTTCTTAAAAATTTCTGCTGAGTTTAAGTGGAACAAGGTCTGCAGAATGGGAGGGGGGAATATTTGCATGTCAGAAAGACTGATCTGAGCAGTGTAAACAGGCTGAAAGACTTCTGTGAACCCACCTGATTCGGCACAGTTGACAAATTCCTATGCAAGACTAACCTGCTGTACCACAGGCTTCTTACGTACGTGTATGTACACACAGAGTCTTCTGCAAGGTCTGCAGGAGGGTGTGGGTGCTGTCACCCTGTCGGAGAACATGTTCAAAACACACAAAGATCCACTTCCAGTCTGCTGTCTTCTTTTGCTGGTAGATATTTTCTGTTTATAATTAAAAAGCCACAAATGACTGCGTGTCAGGAAACTTTTGGAGCACACATGTCCATGGTTAATGGACATAATAAAAGACTTTATTATATTTATAGCAGGGCATCCTACTGAGTGTCTAGAGGAATGCCGGAAGGACTGATCTATCTGAGAAATGTGCAAAACAATTTTGGGGAGAACACGGATAAATGGAAAAAATTGCTCAAAATTCTTGGGCTAACAATGTGGTGAGTGTCTGGATTCAATCCTAGCAGGCAGAGCATACAGCACACGTCAGAATTGAGTTGTCTAGGAATTGAGGTAAAGCAATTTTTTAAAGTATTTAATATTTTTCTATAGTTCTAATACAGTTTTCTTCTTTTTAAGGCATATTTACATCTTACATGAAATACTTCTGTGCTCCCTTGAGGAAAAAAAGAATGGAGGAGTGGGAATAACTACATCTTTTGATATCTAGCCACCTGCTTGTCACTTGAATTTAACCTGAGACCAAATAAAACTAAACATCTGTCTGTCCGCGCAGGGAACCTCATCACTTCGAAGCTGTGGACAACAGCATCCGGCCATGTGCTGAGCTCTGGAATGCAAGACAGCTCTCCCTGCATTGCCTCTGAAAAGGTGCTGGGCTCCCTTCGCTCCTTCCATGGGAACAACAAGCAGGCAAAGGAGACCCAAACGAAACACCTCTACGCCAGAGATGCAGCCTGTTTGTACCAGCAAGTGGCTGTAAGGCAGCAAACTTGGAACTGGCGAACTACCTTTTGTTCTCAACTGCTGGCAATGTCCTGGTGCGTAGGGCAGGAAGGCGGGGCTGCGGTTCCACAAGCCTCAGTGGGGCATGGGCCATCCCTCCAAACTGAGCCCGTGCCTTGGGCAGCTGCTGCCAAATTGTCAGTGGTGTTGGACTGGGGCCCCTTCCTGCCTGCCAGCGGGGCAAGAAACAAAAGGAGCAACAGCCCTTGCTTTGCTGATAGATAATTTTATACATGCACTCTGTGTGTGAGTCTAAATAATATTTACAGAAAGAAACACACACACACTTTAATTGGGGGAAAAAATCCTATAAACATATGGGTTTTTCTTAGAAACAGTAAAAAAAATAATTTAATAGCTGCTATAGCGGAAATATTTCTATTAATGCTTCTAGTTCTCTATACTTTACATGCTGCTACTCCTATCTGCTTTTCATGTTTTAGTCATCCGGACATATGTATTTCCAATTTCAAACCTGTGTGAGTGAAATAGAAACATTTTAAGATCAGTTTGAAATGTTTTTAAGACAATGAACACACAGCCTATTGCCTGAAGTTCACTGTTGTTTAGATAAAAGTAACTGTTCAATCTCTTCCCACTTAGTAACCAATTATTTACACTAGACTAAACGGATTAGAATTCTTCATTGATGAAATTTGGTTTCTATCCTGAAGCTGTTAAACATGCGGGGATAAAAGCTAGGTAGGTTTGACAGTGAGCAAATGGCATCTTAAAATCATAAACGAGTCATTACAAAAAAGCTCCACTTACAATATAAAGTGCAGTGATTAATTAAAGATGCAGTTTTGACTTATTTATAGCCATTAAAAAAACATACCGGTTTTAACACAAAATAACACGAGCCAAGTCATCCAGGGGGAGAGATGCTGGCAGTCTGAGACTTGGAGAGCAGGCAATGTGACAAAGCCAACAGGGAGTGGCAAATGCAGGCCACCCCTGAAACCTTAGGGTAAGTTCACAGCAGAGTGGGAAGAGGTGGCTCTGGCGTCCCTGCCCAGCTGCTCTTCTTTTTGCCCACATGCAGACCTCAGCTGCAAAGACAGTTTGAGCGACGGAGTGACAGCAACAGTTTGAGCACAGGTTTCTGCAGAATTCGCCCCCCCCCCAAACACATTCATGGCTGATGGACGAATGCTGGTTCTGCTTCAATGGTGGGCGTGGGTCAGCAGAGCCTGAAGGAAATAATTTAGGCAGAGGGAGGCAGGGGGTGGGAAGCTGCTCTGCTGCTGACAGCTCACCT